TAATATCTCATTACTAAGGACTAAATTTTTAGAAGGCTATTTAGTCAAAGATAAACAAGCCGAGACCTTTTCACATGTCCTAATTTTGCAGTAATACCTGCTTTCTAAGATAGGCGAATTAGTGAGAAAGCGAGATAAAAACTGTTAGAAGAAACCTTCACGGTTTCTTCTACATTGTTATCTTTTAGAGAGAAATGTGACCCACAATTGGGGCCCGGCTACTATAAGATTATGTTAAGATAGGTGGTTTTGTAACCTGACTTACACACTTGCAAGCTCACCTCTCATTATCATAACCATACTAGCGTACTAACTTATTCAGTTTGAGGGCTTTTTCTTGGGTCATTAATCCTTGATGGCCAGAAGTTGACATTAGCTTTATTTGATCATTATGATTTGGGACTGGTATCGCGTATATGCGTTAGCACACACATGATACACACTCGGACAAAAGTAGCAGGATCAATACAAAAGATAATTATCCAAGCCATTCCATATCTGTGCATCCCTTTTAATTTTCTTTTGCTTAATTTAGTCTATAGAAGAGGTAAGATAAAGCTGAATTATCTTTTTAACTTAGTTGTTAACGGAAGATTTTTACAAGAATGAGCTCCAGTTCTGATTTCGATCAAAGGGAAGCACAACTCGTTATTATCTGAAACGAGGATGGATGTCTTGTGAACTGCCTCAACCTGAACGTCGTATTATAGCCAAACGGCTGCACTACAACGGGAAGCAGCCGTCCTCTTCTCGTGAAATCAACCTTCAAAGCTCTTCTTAATGCACTATCATACGAAATAAAAGCCATCAACCAAAAATGTTCAAATAAAGCCAATCGATAACTGATCTGGACGAATCCGCCGTCGTCTTCTGGTGGGATCGGACTTGGAATTTATTCACTAAATACTTCCTCTTGAAATGGAAATGAGCTTAACTATTATGAAATACAGCTTTTCTATTTTTCATTTGGGTTTTTGCAATCCTAAAATTATATTTATTATGGACGTGCTGAAGAAGACAATCAAAAAAATTGTTTAAGCAATGATTGTTTGAAATAAAACAAGCAAATAATATAAACGCACTTGACGTTGGAGGAAGAGGTAGAATCACAGTCGATGTGCACATACTTGAGACACATGGTTGCTGTTGGCTTTGCTGGTGTTGGTGTTGGTGACATTGTACATTGGCGGGTAAACAGCTAGCATAACCCGAAGTTAGTGAAGTTTGGCTTTGGGAGTCAGGGATGCCAGGAGGCTGTTGGTAGCCATTTGTCTGGACAAATGAATGGGCACTACTACTGCCTCCAAAGCAGCCATCAGTAGCAGTAGCCGCAACATTCGTGGAAGAAGTTAGACGAGTGACAGGCTCCACCTGTTAGAACAAAAGTATAGCAAGGAGGGCAAATAAAGAATTGGCCAGATGCTCCCAGGTTAAGCAATAGAAAAACAAACTTTCGACTAAGGCATATTTATAGGGTCCATGAGAACTGATTAGTGTATTAATCTTGATTGTGTTAAATCATTTTGATATAAACAATGTGATTCGATCATAATAAACTGTTTATTTTTTAGTCACTCATACAATAGCTGCATAATAAAACACGTAAATTACAAACGGAAAGGGTTTGTAGCAAGAGTAACATGGAGAAATTCATTAATGAGTTCAAAATCCCAATCAGGAATCTTAGAATTAGGTATTGATATAAATTTCCGTAATAAAGCGTTAAAGCTAAAGAGATAAAATATATAATTATTTCGTAATATTGTAGTAGTGTTATTGAAAACATAAGTCAAATGCGGCGGCAAAACTACTATTAAATTTGTGTAATTGAGAAAAGAAAGGGAATAATATGATTCCTGAG